CTGCAGCAGCAGGAAGATTCTTCAGAACTATCAGAAGATTACCAGTCTCTGGGGATAGTGTATCCTACGAAGCCTCTATCTGTGGCGAGTTTCAGGAACATATTAAAACTAAATCTCACCAGGTTACTTATTTATGTATCAAGGGGATCAAAGTAAAGCCTCATTTATCTCCAGATGAATAGGGTCAATACACTCAGGACATATATTTATTTATTCAATTTCTATACCGCCCGTCTGGCTATAAGGCCACTCTGAGTGGTACAAAACACAATAAAACAACGACTAACACTCTAAATAAAATCACAACATAATGACAACCCAAACATAAAACTGAACACATTTATCAACTTCAATTAAGAAAAAAGGAACTAAGAAAAAGACAACATGAAAACAATTAATATAGTAGACCTACTGAAGTCAACATGGCTTAAAGTAGCAATAACTAAATCAAATCCAAGTAATTTTAGTAGTCCTACTCTAGATACAAAGAACAGAACAAAATATCCCATGCTAAATGGGTGGTCCTGCATACAGATTCACGTAATCCATCTCAGTTAATGGACAGGATACATATGCTGCCAGAATAATTTTCTTATAACTCATTTTCTGTGGACTGACTGTAATCTTCAATGGGTCATCCTTCATGCTATCTTTCATTGGCCAAGCTCTTGAATCAAGTAGATCACATTCACTTACCAGTTGTGTGGTATACAGTTCTCTTGCTTAATCTCCCAAACAATTTAGTTCACTGCTGCTTTCTCTTCTACAGGTACTTTTCAGACTAAATAATTAATTAAAACTAGACTCCAGTGTATTTGAATTCAACATTGACTACACAAAGGCTGAAATCCTGTTGTGCAGTTTTATGCCATACAGCAAGAAAGATGTCATCAGCCACAGCAATGCTGTGGCTATTTCAGGGCAAACTAAAAGCTTCTTAGAGGGGACTGTGATTTATTTTTTTTCCTGAGGCAGCCTTCAGGAGCCACAGAATGGGAAGAAGGGCAATTTAAGGCTAGAAAATCACTGCTGTCAGTCGGGCGGGGGGGAGGGTGTGGAGGGGAAAGAGAACCCAAACTGATGGCATTGATTTTCTAGCTTTAAATACCCCCCCCCTTCATTCTGTGGCTCCCAAAAGCTGCTCAAAATGAAGAGAGGCCCTAGCACCACTCTACCAACAGATTTTCAGCCAATGTCAATTACTTTAGAATTACTCCACAACTGAAAATATTTGTAAATGACCACTACTGCATATATTACCTAATATGACTGTCCTTAGGTACCCTCTGTCTTCTGGTTTAAAGTCCATGCCATCAAAAGGTTATAGCCTAAGATTGTTATCTTAAAACCCGAGATGCACTGCACCTTTGAATTACTTTTTTGTTGTCTCAGTTACCTAGAAGGAAGGTCTAAACCTTTGGACCTAGTTTTAGCTAAATTTATCTTTTTGCCAAGGCTTTTGATCATCTCCTATCTGCTAAGAGACTATGACTACATTCCTAAACATACCTACAATTGAGTAAATCCCATGGAATTCCCCGAACCTTATGCCGAAGTAAAGATGTTTAGGATTGCCCTACATAATACTCTGGTAACAAAGACAGCAGCTGCATTTATCATATAAACTCTTCAGAATCAGTGATATAGTGCTATTATAGTAGTATGTCTGACTGAAATCACTGTTCAATGTAGTCTAGCTTTTTCAAAGTTAGAATTTTTTATATTTTTTATCTTAAAGATGTTTTATCTTCATACTAGGCAAAGTCCAAAGAAACAAAACAAAAACACGGGGCACCTTAGAGACTACAGTATTATATTTTAATGTGAGCTTTTGTGGACAAGTCTTTATGCTGCTGACCAACATTATTTTTATTGCAGCATTGTTTCACAACATGAATATTCATGCTTTAAGTTTTGACAAGCCTTGGAAATAGATAAATTTGATAGAAAATTAAACCAGTCTGACTTTTATAGAATACAAGCATGGTTGTATTCTAATACTGTACAAGAAACATTAGCACGTCAATGTACATTTTACGATATGCAGATCTTCCCAACACAAAATTGCCACTACACATTTTAGAGCCAGAATAAAATATCATTAGACTAAAGAAGCACACATTAACTTTCCATTGAATGCATGCACCTATCATGTTAGTTTTATGAAACCATATTAGTTAAACAACGGGCCATCTCCATCCCACACTTCTGTCCTTGACTAGTAACATCTTCTGAATAATGCCTACATTCACTTAATAAAACAATGTTGCTTCTTTAATATTGATTGCCAGTCATATAACTTGATCCAATACACGTAAGTATGCCCAAAGTGTCCAATCCTCATAGAAAACTTGTTAATAGAGTACAGTTCACTTAACTTCCAGTGAGCCAACAGCAACAATTTATACAGGAACTGTAAAGATTTCCATTCCAAACCTAGGCTGAAAACCTGAGGCGCTCCAAATATTGTTGCATTTCCAAACCTTTTAGGCCCTGCCCACCTCACTAGTGCTGGTGGAGACTGTGAGCACCACAGGTTCACCTATCCTGTGTCGTAGACAAATGTGGTTCAAATCCAGTCTAACACTTCATTTCGGTTTAGTACTGCAGTGTTGCATCATCTACAGAAGGAACTGCCTGGATAAGACTACCTAAGAGTTAGCAAAGCCCACAAATGGACAATTGGATACAGATGTGGAAGATCTGCATTCAAATCCCATGAAACGGTTCAACTCATCGTGTGACCTTGGACAGGTCACTCTCCTCCAGCTTCAGCTCCCCTTCTATTAAATTGAGTTTAAATTTAAATCACAATTTAAAATTAAAAAAATATTTTTTGATGATTTAAATTAAGACATCAATTTAAAAATTTAAATAGGGATTTAAATCAATTTTGATTTTTTTTTTTTTAAAAATTAATTTTTATCAACCCTGCATAGAAGCAACTATGGTTCTTGGAAAAGTAAACCCAGTCAAAGGGTAGTCTGATTTGCAGATTTAACCAATTATATAAATGACAAACTGCATAGCAATAATAAATGACATACAGTTTGATTATCATTGAAAACTGATCTGGAGATAGCTATCTTTTACATTTTCTGGTGGGGCTCCACAAATGCCCACAAAACATGAATATGTGAAAGTTCATCATTCATTAAAATTGCATCTAAAGGAACTTTAATTGTGGTGCAACGGAAAGAGACATAACATGGCCTAAGACCTTTCTGAATATCGCCCGTACAGTACTCATTTGCAACCTAGCTAGACATACATCTTTTGAGCATTTGTTCAGAGAGAACATCTGCATGTACTTGATTGAAACACAGCTGGAGCTAGGCTTTATGTTATTTAACCAAAAGAAGAAGAGGAAGTCTGCCTTCATCCAGCTTTGCAAATATTCAGCCTGCAGCATCAACAGCAAGCAAATCACCTCCAGTATCTAACATTAGATGTTGACATACTGAGATACAGTCACACCCACCACAAAGACCTTGGTGTAGAACAAATTCATTTCATAACAATGAATGGAAAAGCATTGGAAACACACACCGTAAAACACAATCATAATAAATGAGGACAAAACATTTCCTAGTGTTCCCCTTTTCCAATGTACCTCCCTCCCTTTGCCAACACTTGATTGATAAGTGGAGCATCAGGAAGAAAAACCTGGAGAGAATGATGGAAGGAAGTGGGTTTGGTACTGTATTGAAAGGAGAGATTAAATGACTTGCGAGATGGTAAAGCAGGAAAAGCAAATCAACCCAGCAGCAGATTAAAAGAAAAAGTGGTTTGGTAGAGCTAATCTAGATAAACCCATACCCATCCATGCACCTGGGATTTGGCATTAGAAACACTTGCAGATTCCACAGGTTATAGAAAGGGTTATCTGACAAAAGCACTATAATATTATAGAACAAGATGTAGGGGGCAAGCATTTTGGAAAAGGCAGATATATCCCCTACCCACACACCTCTGTCAATCTCACTGGAAAAGACCAGAATGTTTCATTTGCCTAAAACAAAATTAAGGCCATCCACTATATTCAGAGGAAGATACCTGGGGAAGGCAGACAACATGCGGGGGGTGGGGAGGGAAGAGGGATTGCCCTTGAAGAAGGCAAGGATTTGGTTTGCTTCCCTGTATGTGTAGCCTTGTGCATGCCGGCCTTTTTCCCCCAGGCCTGCTGGGTTCATTTTCTAAAGACTGCAGCAGAACCTTCTGAACAAAAGCCGCATGACACACACAGAGAACGAACGAACTTGGGCCCCTGAAGTGATTCTCTCTCTTCCTTCCCAGCTGCACCTTTTTCGCACAAGCAAGAAAGGGGGGGGGGGAGTGACTGCAGCATCGCGGACCAACATCATGATGATCACCGCGGTCACACCACCAAGAGGGGGAGACAGCAACAAAGAAACACCCAACCTCCTCCCCCTCTTTTCCTCTTGCCATCTTGATTCAGGTCTAGAGATCCATAGGTATATTCCTCTGTCCGTTCACACAGCCTCAAAAAGGATCCTCTAACAACAACAACAACAAAACCCCCAACAACACCCAAAAAGCAAACAAACAAAAGCCACTGCGAAGACAACCTGAGGACAACAACTAAAGCACCGATGCCCTCCTTCCTTCCTCCCGCCCCCCCCCCATTTTGACATTGTGCAGGAGAATCCGAAGGAGCTGCAATGAAACGCAGCCGCGGGACCAACGCGGCGGCGGAGGGGGGGGCGCGTGGGAGCTGAAAGGGGCAACGCTGAATGAATGTCGCCGCGTCTGTTTCTAGGGCCCCGGTGGGGGGAGGGCTGCCTGCAAAAGGACAGGGACGGCCTCACCGAGAGAAACGGGCCCCGGCGCCGGGGGGGGGGCTTATCATGCTCGCCCCCTCCCCTGGCTTGGCCAGCCAAAGAACCCCGAGCGGCGCGGCGACGGTGCTCGCCCGAGGCGGGAGCGCGCTTGTGAATAAAAACAGATGCCGCCGCTTGGAAGGACGAGGGGGAAGGAGGACGAGGGAAGGCAGGCGCCGCGAGCCATTGCCCGAGGGATACCCCGGGGAAAAGCGGCCAAGCTTTCCGTCACGGACAGGTCTTGGGAGTTGCTGGTGCTGCAATAGGGAGGGCGGAGAGAGGCGGCATTGCCACGGGATGGGTGGCAGCTGCCGAGCGACTTACCCCGGTGTCAAAGGTAGAGCGGCTCTTCGTAGCCTCTCTTTCTTTCTTTCTCCGCCTGCCTTTCTTTCCCTCTCCCTCTGGCCTCTGCTTTCGCTCGCTCTGTGCGGGCAAGAGGCTCCAGTTGACGCCCCCTTGCCAAAAACGAAGGCAACCCCCCAACCTCTTTTTTTCCTCTCTCTCTCTTCAGCTTACGCCTCCCAGCTCCAGTTTCTAAGCCAAAGGAATAAGAAGACGGAGAGGGAGGGCGAGGAGGCGTGGCTTTTTTTCCAGCCGCAAGGAAGGCACCGGGGGAAAAAAAGAGGGAGGAGCGGCCTTGCGCTCCGCCTCTTTCTAAGCGAGCGCTCTCAAGGCGGGGCTCGGCTGTCCCCCTTCCACCCAAAGGCTTTGCGCGTGCGTAGCTGG